TAATCTTATTGCAATACACAAATGTATCAAACCAATACCATGTTATATGTCAGTTACATCTCAATTTAAAAATTAACGAATTTAAAAAGATGCAGTTTTGATGCCGAGGAGAGGGGGAGTTAGAGGAAGGAACACGTGGAATCCAATGGCCAGGGAACAAGGAGAGGGTAGGAAGCATCCTTGCATGTTTCAGGGAAGCCCCGTCACAATTGGAGACTCCCTCCAGTCCCGGGGTTCTTCCGAAAGCCCAGCAAGAATCCACAGGTCGCAGGCCGGTGAGCCCGGCCTTGCTCAGGGCTGGGAGTACCGAGTATGGGGGAAGGCGGCTCCAACCCAGCTCAGAGTGCAGAACAGGTTCATGCTGCATCCTGGCTCACCATCATTCCAAGGACCGGAACTGATGGTGCTAGATCGTCGCTAAGGATACCAGATTTAAAAAAGAAGAAAAACGAAACTCACCAATCTGAATTGGAGCAGGGGAAACAAAAGCCCTGTGGCAAAAGGGAATTCCTTTTTTGTTTACTCTTTACAAGGGCAGGAGTGCATAGTTTTACTCCAGTAAAGGCAAATTGTGTGATTAAAAAAAAAAAAAGGATTTTTTTTTTAACCAGGTAAGATTCAACAGGGATAACTGGATTTGAAATTTTGAGAAAGGAGCTACAGAAGATGTCCCTCGTTCACCAGCAGGTGGCGCGTTGTCTTTAGGATTGCGCCCTCTGATCTCTCCATCGATCAGCTCAGCCAGACTTGCCCGAGTCCTCTCGCCGGAAATCGCGCTGCAGATAATAACCCTCCGGTGTCTGGAAATGTTTAATTATGCGACTGCTCATTTTTCCAGCGCCGCCCGCCGCCGATGTAGCCCTCAAGAACCTAGCGCCGCGGGTGTGGTAAGGTTCTCTCCGCAGAGTTTCATCCTATCTACACAGGAACCAGTTACAATCACTTCTCTTCATCCTCCTTAGTTAGATTAGACACTGCGTCGTTTCTAATACATTTATTCTCACCTTTGGGTGGAGGAAAAGTTCAGCAATCTTAGAGCACAAATCTGTTTTGTGTTGCAAATAATTCTGACTACTCCTATTTGTACGAAAAGGAGGAAAAAAAAAAAAAAACTCGCCCTGCCTCTTACTCACATTTTACATGGGCTCCTCACGGCATAAACCTTTATCATTTCATTCTACCGATGAGTGTGTGCCCAGAGTTCACGCAGTTCCACACGTGTATTCGCGCTTCATACGTATTCTTCTTATAAGCCGCGGGTAGAAGCACAAGTGTGTGTACAGTTGCATTTATTAAGGTGACAAATAGTTACAAGATGCTCATGCGCTCATAGAGAAACTTACGAAACGGGAACTGCTTGGAGAAAACAGCTCGCTTTCCCTTTCGGTTTTGATACTGTAACTTGTCTCTCGCCGTCACAATAAACACCCGCTCCTGCGTTCGCCTGGGATTTATTCTAAGACCCCGGAGCAGCTTGGGCGTTATCCGAGTGTGTTGTCTTGCACAAGTGTGTGCGGATGGCATGTTACCTGCCTTCCTGCTTAAAGACTTCCCCCCAACGCTGGATTTTGACCTGATTGATCGTAATGGTTCCAGAGGAACTATTGAGCCATTACAATCCATCATCTAAATGATTACAGAGGGATGCCTAAATCTCCCGGTCATTTGAAACCTCTGTACATGCGTAAGGGGGTGGGGGTCTAATGAGCAGACTCCCCCCCCTCAATTGTCTCCAATGCAGTTACAGGAAAGTTTGCGCTGAAAGAAAAACTCGCCAGTGCTAGGTAAATTCCATTTTTAAAACATGAGGTCATTTTCGGGTGGCTAGAAAGTGGGGAGAGGTGGATTTCATTTTTAATCCGCAAGACCTCAAAGCAGTATAAGCCACATTCTAGTTCATTTTCTGGAAGCTGCTCAATTTTCACTGCGAAGACAGGCTGGGGCACTTTTGCTTCCCAGCCAACAGGAGTCAGTAGAGGGGCTGGGGTTGGGGCGGGGAGACCCTCAGAAGCTGTCAGCACCCCACGAGTGCCCCGAAAAAGGCAGCGGCTAGGGCTGGCTTCTGGGCTGGGCGCAGGGTGGTTGATGGCCCAGAGGCTCGCACCCGCCGGCGATCGCTACCTGCCGGAACCCGGGCACGGTGGGTGGGGAGGCAGAACCCGGAGCTGGAGGCCCGGTCGCTACTGAGGGGACCCTGTGCCAAGGCTGCTTGGTGCCTGCCCAGTCTGAGAGCCCCCGGGCGCTGCAGGTTCCACACCGTTGCCAGAAAGAGCCCCTGTGGGAGTTTGTGCGGGGTCTGGCCGCTGGCCGCAGCCGTGCGGGTGGCGGAGTGCGCAGAACGCCCAGGAATGAGATGGACAGACTCGAGTTCCGCCACCTTCACGGGGTTCTGGGGACGTAGGGCAGTTGGGTTCCGGTCGCTGAGGATGTTTACCAAATTCAAAACCTGACGTCCTTGCGAGCCCTAAACGCATAAGATTTCACTGAAAATTACCCTCCTGGCCCTTAACTCCAGGTGCCCTGGGTCCTGTCCTCTTCAATCTATCCACGCTGCGGTCCAGGCGCGCGTGTCATGACCTCAGTCCTGCTGCTTAAGGCCCGATTACTGTCTCAAATAGTCGGGGTGGGTTTCCCACTGTGGGGCAAAGAGGTTTTCAGCGCCCGGGACTTCCTCCGTGTCCCAGGAGCGAGAACCTGGATGGCCTCCAGAAGACACTGGGGCCACCGTTTGGGGGTCATCCCCTTGGGAGTTTAGATTGGGATGGAGAGCCCCTCAGCAACGAGCAAATCTTGAATTTCGTTTATCCCAGACTTCTGAGCACCTGCGAGGAGGGAGGCGGAAGCCAGGTGTCGGAAACAGGCTCACCTGGTCCCAGCTCCGCTGGGGGGTAACACCTGAGCTGCCGGCCGTGAGGGGTGAGCCCCAACCTTGCTTCTCCATCCTCCCCCACAAGAGCTAAGTTCCTTGATTTGGCCTGAATCAGGATCAGCTTTCCAGAGAACCTGGCAAAAGCCACCTCAAGTGACCAGGTGGCATGCATGGTCTTTTCATTCAAATTCCTAAAGATTCTCTCTACAAGGGCTCTTTTAAGGACCCCTCCTTGGAGTTTCCTAGCTGACTCTGGAGTGTGTTGGCCACTAGTCCTGACTCGGAAGAAAAAGGCAGGTGGAAAGATGAAGGAGCAGTTGCCCCGTGTGGCGTTTTAAGCAGGAGATGGAATTGGTCCATCCCAGAAGGCACCACCCCAGCTGAATATCCTCTTCCTAGGGGACCTCTCACCAGTCTGGACAGCTGGGTGCCCTATTGTGGAGACCTCCCTGTAACGCTTTCGTTGATGCTGATGGAGGTTCTCAGAGCTGTCTCCTGGGAGGGTCTGAGACGAGTACCAGCAAATTCCCTCGCTCAAGATGGAAGCCGGTACAGCCAGGAATGCCCTGCTGATCCAGGCTCTCCCCTGCTTTTGGAACTTGCTGCTTTGCAGTCTCAGGGAAGGGAGTGATCTCAGCCCACTTCTGCTCTCAGGGGGCCTTGCCTCGGCCAGAATGTCGCCCCTTACCCGCAGCTCCTGGGATCCCAGCCGCAAACTCCCCTGGGTCCCTCACTCCAGCATTCACCTGTGGCAGCGGGTGAGTAAAATCTCTTGGAGCAAATACTTCTTCCTCCTCCTGCTCAAGCCAAAGGTTACCTAGGGGGTGGAGGACACATTCTGTTCTAAAGTCCTACTGATAAGACAAGGGTCTGCTCCAACTACAGCTCTGCGGGGGAGGGGGGGCGGCGTTTCTACTACCATTTTCCTAGGTCAGGGAGCGATGCCTTACACTCATCAGAGACGATTTGCAGACCAGAGCTCAACACAGTGGCAGCTGCATTTCACAGACACAGCACTGCCCGCTACAGGCCCAAGATGCCAGGGTCCAGCCCCAAGGGCTAGGGAGCCTCACTGGTCAGCAGCCCTGGGACACCCTCCAGCGGAGCCTCCCTGGGGAACCTGCACCTTCTTCCAAACCTGGGGCTGGGTGTCCCAGGGAGGTAGCGGGGAGGGATCAGGGCTGGGGGCGGCTGAAGTTTAGCTCCCACAGCTGAGAGTTCAGGAGTGTGGGCAGTACTGGTCCTTTCCCTAAAGCATAAGCATGAAAACAGAGTTTCTGGCAGCCAGGACCCTGAGCCCTCTGAGACCCCAAACTCCACCTGAACCGGCTCCTTGGACTCCGAGCTCCTGGAGCTGAAAAACTTTGCCGCCTGTCTCCAGTGCCTGAGTCGCTTTCCAAACTCCCATCCATCCTTCCAAAACACATGCATGCATGATTAGAGGGCTCGGCTGTTTGTTAAGGTTGAATCCCAGAAAGTTCTGGGTCCCAGGAAAATAATTTTCTTTCCCTCCTTTTCCCTACCCTTCGCCTCTGATCTTGCGACCAAACTCTCTAACCCAGGGTCTGGGTTACCACACTGGGACGGAACATTCTTGGATGTCCGAGAATTGCATCATAGCTAGGACCCTCGGACTCCGAGAAGGGATTCTAGAAGAGGCAACTCTGCCAGGGTCCGAAGCGTGCTGAGCCCCTGCTACTGCGCCTGGGTCCTGGTGCGACCCCTGCCCCCCCCCCCCTTATTCACTCGGCACAGGCAGTGTCCCAGGCGCACAGGAGTAGGACCTCAAAACACGAGGCGACCCACGCTCTCATCTGCTGCGGGCTGTTTCTTCTAGTTCGACAGGGGTGCCCTCTTGGGCCTAACAACACAGAAGGGGTCTCATGGGATTTTAGAGCTGGGAATGCAGGTCCCGGGAGGCCCCGGCTAAGCGAGCGCCTTTGCCAAAGTCGGCTGCCCGGGTCAGCAAAACTTTGGTTCTCAGTGCGCAGGCGCAGGGCAAGGTTGGGGGGCAGGGGAGGGAGGGGTGGAATCCCGAGGCAAAGGGAGGAGGGAGAGAGGAGGAGGGAGGGTGGTGGATTAAAATAAGTAGGCGGCTCGGTGCTAAGGGATGAGTGAGTCTGAGCTCAGTCTCTTCCCAGCACGTTCTCAGCCGCTGGGCTTCAGACCCAACCAGGGAGCTGCAAACGAGGCTCACCATCCCTGGCGGGCGGGCAAGACTCCGGGTCCGCTGAGCGCTTCCCGCGTGTCCGGCTCTCGGAGTGCCGGCAGCCGGAGAGGGGCCAGGACTCCAGAGGTCCGGGGGTGCCTGTGGAATCCAGTGCCTCTGGCTTCCCGGGTCCCCCGCAGCGGCAGCCCCAGAGCCACGCTCAGCCCCCCGCACCGCCGTGGAACAAGGTAACTGCAGCCCTGCGCGTACCGGGACGGAGAGGGGAAGGCGGGCGGGACTCCCGGGCTCCCTGTCACAGCTCCGCGGGTGTCTCCTGTCTCTTCACATCCCAGAAGGAACCTCCTCATGCCAAATGCAGGCTGCAGGACCTCTGTGAAAGAGAGCTGCTGCGGCCCAGGGTGGTTGGGGGTGCTGGCCCAGGGACTTCCTGCGCGGGGTCCCCGGCCTCTGACCTCCGGGGAATGAGAGGGCCGGCTTCCACTACTGCCCCGGCGGGGCCAGACTCCGCAGAATCTGGGGCGAGATGCCCACGGACTTGGGAAGTCAGCCTGTGGGCCCCTCTAAGAAAATGAAGCAACTTCGGCGGGCGCAAACTTTCCTGAGATGCACGCCTAGCTCAGCCTGACCTTAGGGGACGAAGAAGGAAGAGAGTGGATGGGTGGCTACTGCGACAGCTGATCGCGCCAGGGACAGGTGCATTTCCCTCCCGGGTCCTGCTTTCCTGCTAAGTTTTCTTCTGCGAAGTTGCGCTCACCTACGACCTGGGAGCGCAGGGCCGCGTGCCTGACGTCGCCTTCGCACTTGCGCTTTGACTTTGGTTATTTTCTATCATATGGTCGCTCCCCGCGATCAGGCCCTGGAGTGTAACCCGCTGCTGTCCCGGTGCACGCAGGGCGTGCGAGCACCACTTCCCAATTCGGGACTGCACACCTCAGTGCGCGCGGAAGCACTGTGGAGCGGCGGGTGTCTCCAGGTTGGGGCTTGGGAGCAAAAGATGCGTTTGCTCCTCTGACTGTCCCCAAACCCAGCCATCAAGAGAGGTGGGAGCCAGGAGGCGAGAGGGAAAGAGATTAGAGGTGGCATGCTGAGCTAATTTCTCCCCAGAAATGTCTCTGATGAGATCGAAAACCCACATCCAGCATCTTTTCAGCAGTTCCGGCGGTAGCAGGGTAGGCTCTCAGAACGGAAAGTAGCTACGAGGGTCTCTTTGTTACCACAATTTGGTAAATTTCACTCGGGCGAAGAGCTGCGTGCTGACTCTTGAGAAGAGAAACCACGTGCAAGGCTAGTTTCCCCGGTCCACAGCCTCCCAGAGAAGAGAAGAGTCGGCAGGGATGGCGGGGGCGTAGAGAGACCAGTTGGGTACATGCTGCATCCGAGGTTCCTCGAAGTGATTGTGATTTCATTAAGAATGGGGAGCAGATCGCTAAGGACGCAATGGGCATTTAAATGCTGCTAGATGGCCGCCTCGCTGAGGGATTCGTTCGAGCTCGTTCGTTGGGAAAATTCAACAAAAGTAGCGGGGGCTGGTCAACCCTCCCGCCTGGGGTCCAGACGCCTGTCATTTGCGTTGGGGATTCGATGTCAAGGATGAATTTCTGGGGCTACTGCTGGGCTCCTCCTGGCACAAGCTCGTGGAGCTCGCTCCGTCCTCATTAATGCAAGTAGTTAACTCGCACACGCTCAATTAGCTCCGAATAAACCACTTTAATAGACTCGGCACACTTCATTAATGCCCGGCACAGGGCTGGCTGCAGACCCGGGGCCGGCGCTCCACTGAGCGGGGACTCAGGCTTCCGAGCGCGAATTGCATTCGCCGCGCAGGGTCGGAACCCTTGACCGCACCTCCGGGGTTCGGAGGCCCAAGCTGTAGGAGGAGTGGATGCCTGGTCTGGGGAGAGGGGTTTCCTCCTATATTTAAAGATCCGAAGGGTTCGTACTGGGGTTCTGGGGTCAGGGCAACGGGAGCTCATCCTCTCCGGCTGGTGAGCAAGTGCGAGGTGGTGTTTTTCTCTTAGCTGACCTCCAGAAACCGTGCCTTCGGCCCATTGTTGGTGCTAAAGAGCCACGTTTCTAACGAATTTCATCCCCGGGAAAGTCGTTGGCGAGAGTCTTAAGAGCCCTGGCCTCGGAATGCGGCAGAAAAGAAGGAACTGGCTGCGCGGAGGAAAACAAATGGAGTGTTGGGGGAGACAAGACCAGGCAGATAGCCGGGAACGGTTGGCTCCCACGAGCAGGGGGAGCAGCAAATGCCCCCTCCTCCCACCCAGCCCTGGGTCTTCGCTCCTGGCGTGGGCGAGGAAAGGCCAGGGTAGTGCGCCGGGTTGGGGGGTTCGCCCACCTGGGCACACAGCGGGCTCGGGCCGCGTGCAAGGTCCCGCGCCACCGCCGCTCTCTCGGCTGCAGGTAGGCCCAGCACGGAGAGGAGGGAGCGGAGGGCCGGGTGGCGCTCGGAGGTGCGGGAGAAGCCAGCGATAAGGATCTGATTTCTAGCGCGGGGGGAGGGGGGGCAAGATGAGGTGACGGCAAATCAAAGAACGCTCACCTCGTCTAAGCCTGGGCAGACCTTTGAAGTTGGCGAGTTTCTTTCACCTTCTCTTCCCTCCCCCCCCCACACCAAACGACCCCTGCTCTCTCTCCGGCCCAATTTTTATTTCGCTTCAGCGTGGCCCCAGCGTTCTAGGCTGGGCTCAGTTTGTCCCTGGCGCGACCCTCGCCGGGGGCACCGGAGAAGGTTGGCGCTGAGGCCACGGCTCCGCCTGCCCCCGGGCACTCCTGGTCGGAGGGCGCGCTCGCTGCAGATGCGTGCCTCCCCTCGCTCCAGGGCTGAATTAATTGCTGTGGTCAGACTAGGTTTTCTTTCGATTGCTAATTTAACCGAAGCCTGCATATCTTTCTTTGCTGGTTCTCGGAGTTTTGTAGCCCCCACCCCCAGCAGAGCCCCTCTCTCTCTTTTTTTTTCCTGCCCCACGCACTGCAAGTGACCTTCCTGCCGGCCTCCGAGGGAAGATGTTCCTGGGTTAAGGTGGTCCTCAGTCCTCTCGCCTACAAAGTGCGGCGCTTCCTGGTGGTTACAGGCTTCGCTGCGGTGGAAGGCAGCTGAGCGTAGGCCTGGACCCAGGGCCTGGGCTGGGGCTCTGGGCTGAGGGAAAGCTAGGCTGGGGGAGCTGCCGTAGGTGTCAGTGTGAGCAGTGAACAAGGAAGCAGAGCAGTGTCCTGCACACCCCAAGGAAGGGGACTCACTGTCCTTTAGAAGAGAAATCTGAGGGGAAGGAGAGGAAGAAGAAGGGTAGAAGGAGTGGCAGCATGAAGACTGAGGGGGGTGAGGGAAAAGGGTGCCCCGAGCACCCTGCTCCTGCGGTGGCTTCTTGAGTAGCCCTCAGCTCTGAGCCTAAGGGAGAGGGTGTTCAGCACTTGAGCGGCCCAGAGCTCCCTGTGAGCCTTTGGCTTTTGTTCCTGTTTTTGCCTCCACTGGACAGACCTCAGTGTCTGCGAAGGACGGAGATAAAGGCCTCTCTGCAGAGCACAGAACATGTAGGCTGGAGACCTTGCCCACAAAGCCCAGGAGGGGCCAGCCTGCTGCTCACTTCAGCACAGCTTCCCCCTGAACTCGCTCGAGCCTCCTGACACTGCTCGGAGGGTGGCTGGACCACAGGAGCTGAGGCAGGCCTCAGCGCTCCTCTTGCCCACAGGCACACCCACCTGCCCAGGGCTCACCACGTACACAAACAGCCCGAGACCCCCAAAGGCTCTCCCTCCTGCCTTTCTTACGGGGTAGGGAGGGCACTGAAGCCCCCTTGTATGCAACTGCAGATGTTGGACTGAGTGGGTTAATGAAGACCGGTGTCAGTGTTCTTCCCCAAATGAAGGTGATCCCCAAAGGCATCCGTCCACAGTGCTGTCAACAGGGCTCAGTCACAGGGAGGCAGAAAAGCAACTTTGCGGCCCAAGTTGAGAGTTTTGAGGAGAAAGATGACGTGGCTTCTGGAGGCCAAATGGAAGGTCAGCTTAGCAGATCCTGATGGACAGGAGCTGGGACCTGTATGGGTTCGGGTGTTTGCATGTATGCTGTCTGTCTGGAAGGCGCTTCATGGGTGCCACGTGATCCTGTGTGCCTGGGCGTGTTTTGTTCCTTGCATTTTGTTTTGTGTAGCAAAAAACCACTGGTCGTCCTGTCTCGCTTAATCTTTGCCCCGTGTTGTCAACTCTGCTTCAGAATGAGTGGATCTGTCAGTGTGCGTTTCTGTGTTTATGTGCAGGCGGACACATAAGCTTGCTTCCGAGCCCCTGTTACCTTTGCAGGAGAGTGTCATTCTGTGTTGACTCAGGCTTGCGTGAACGGAAGTGTCTACATCATGCCAGTTCCCCTGTGCTTCTGCCCTTTGTGGTGTCATGCACACCAACCACAGTCTTTCATTTAAGTCTGTGGCATTGCATTGGGTTTAGTTTCCTGCTGGTTTCTGTATCAAGTTGTATTGTCTCTGCCAAAGGTCATTTGGAGAAATCGAGGTCAGAGTTCAGATTAGAGAGGGTTCCCATCTTTTTTATTTTTTGAGGTCAGTGGGTTCCATGGAGTGGTGTCTTAGACTTCCAGCTCCTACCCTGGGGGACAGAAAGGGTGTGGCTGGGCTGGAATTCAGAAGAAAACCGATCTACCCTGAACTTTTCCTCTCTCTACTCCCTTCTTTTCTCTACAGATTCCTATTGAGAACCCACTGCAATTACCACAATGGGCAGCAAAACTTTGCCAGCGCCAGTGCCCATCCACCCTTCCCTACAGCTCACCAACTACTCCTTCCTTCAGGCAGTAAACGGCCTGCCCACGGTGCCCTCGGACCACCTGCCCAACCTGTACGGGTTCAGCGCTCTGCACGCCGTACACCTGCATCAGTGGACGCTGGGCTACCCTGCCATGCACTTGCCACGATCCTCTTTCTCCAAAGTGCCCGGAGCCGTGTCCAACCTGGTGGACGCGCGCTTCCAGCTGCCCGCGTTTCCCTGGTTCCCTCATGTTATCCAGCCCAAGCCTGAGATCACCGCTGGAGGCAGCGGCCCGGCGGCACTCAAGACCAAGCCGCGCTTTGATTTTGCCAACCTGGCCTTGGCCGCCACGCAAGAAGATCCATCCAAGCTTGGCCGGGGGGAGGGTCCTGGCTCCCCCACGGGTGGGCTGGGCGCCCTCCTGGATGTGACCAAGCTGTCCCCAGAAAAGAAGCCCACGAGAGGACGCCTGCCTTCCAAAACTAAGAAGGAGTTCGTCTGCAAGTTCTGTGGTCGCCACTTCACGAAGTCCTACAACCTACTTATCCATGAGCGGACGCACACGGATGAGCGGCCCTACACTTGTGACATCTGCCACAAAGCCTTCCGGAGGCAAGACCACCTACGGGATCACAGGTGTGGCACTGTGGGTGGCCTCAGAGAGAATGGCCTCTGGGCCTCTGTGCTCACCATCCTCTTCCCTAATGGGAAGTCTCTCAGGACCCCTTACCGCTCCAAGCTCCCTAGCTCCTGGGAGTTAACCTAAAATCGTGAAGAAAACCATACCAAGCTCAGGGATCCATTCTTGGTGCATGGGTGGAGAGATCAGGGAATAAATAGGACCTAAGGCTAAGTCAGGTCTCCATGCTGCAGACCAGCACACTTGAGTGCTTGTCCTTACCTCTTCCCTCACCTGCAGTACGGTCCAAAACAAATTCCTGGGTTAATGGAGAGTGACACGTGACACATGTGACAGTTCGGCACTTGAAATGTGAAACAAGTGTGACGGACAAACTAACTTTGAAGTTCTGTTTCATTTTCATTGTAAAAGCCACGTGTGGCTAGTGGCTGCCATCTCGGACAAGGCAGCCTCAGCAGAGTGCCTGCCCCAGACCCCCTCACTCACCCTCCGTGTTGACCCAGCCGTATAAGGAGGCCGGGCTGGCTGCTCCTCAGCAAGGCAGGCCGTTTGCCTGGCCCAACCTGTCCTGGATCAGAGATGGCCCAAGCCTCACCTTCACCTCCGTGCTCCATCCACAAACTCGGCCTTTTGCCAGCTCCACACTGGGTACCCCACAGTCCCCTTTCCTTTGAGGGCAAGTGCCTGTTGCAGTGGGAGGGGACCTTGGGCAACCGTTTTTAACATTGCATCATTTTGCAAGGATTAATTCTCTGTCTGTTTTTGCTCCCAGATACATCCACTCCAAAGAAAAGCCTTTCAAGTGTCAAGAATGCGGGAAAGGATTCTGCCAGTCCAGGACTCTCGCTGTCCACAAGACGCTACACTCACAGGTGAAGGAGCTCAAAGCCTCCAAGATCAAATGCTAAGTAGAGTCTCCGGTCAGCAGGACCCTGGGTCCCGTCCGCCCTTCCTCCAGAGGGACCAGAAGCCAGGAGGCGACTCTGCCAGACCACGGGAAGGGCTCCCGGACCTTCCCTGGTCCCAAACACAGTCCCTTGGGTCCCGGGCACACGCAGAACTCCGGAGCCCCGCCCGGGGCCATGACTCCGCTGCCCGGGCGACTCCCCCAGGACGAGGCTAAACTCTTGGCCAAAAGGCGGTACTCACGTGGCGGAAGGGAAACTGCATTTAAAAAAAAAAAAAAAAAAAGAAGAAAGAAGAAGAAGAATGAAAGCTCCGCGGAGCCACAGCGGCGCCTCTCCCAGAAGTATTACTTTTCCTATTGTTATTTTATATGTTTTCTTTATTATTTTTTTCTTTGACCATATAAGCTTATAACTCTGGCTGCAGAGAAAAAGGGGAGAAGAGGAAAAGAAGTTTTGCGTGCTCGCAGCTTCCCGTCCCCCCCCACCCGTCCTTCGCCCCCCCCCCCCCCGGGAGCCTGCCAAAGTGTAATCCGTGTATCTGCTTCAGCCGCCCGCCCGGACTGACCGCGGGTTCCAGCAGCGCCCGCTCCCAGCTCCTGCCCCGCAGCCGGCGCAGGGCTCCCGGACTTGGCCGGCAGGGGCGGGGACCGCGGCTCCCAGTGCTGGAGGGTTCTGGCCTCCGGCTCCCGTGAGAGAGCTGCTGGCTAGGAAGGAGCAGGGTGGTGTATTGCGATTGGCACTTTATGCTGACCATCGGTAACGGACATTTATCACTGGAGTTTTTAAAAATATGAAATAAACGGTTATTTTACAGGCATTGCAGAATGGATAATTTCATCCCTAGCGCAAGAAACCGGGCGGGGCTTTTCCTCGAGATAAGCAGGTCTCTATGCAGACGCCACTCTCCACTGCCGGAATCCGGGGGCGGGGAGGATGGAGAAGCGCCTTCTGCCCCGGCGCGGGTCTGCCTCGGACCCCATCCCGCATCCACGCGCTTACTTTTCTCCTCCGCTTTGGTCTTATTCTCAATATTCCCACTGCTTGTCTCCAAAGGGTTTTGACTTTACAAAGAAGCCGAGCCTTCCGTCAGTGTATATTGGCGGTGACATTTCTCAACGTTTCCAGAGGCCGGGGTCGCCTAGAGTCCACTAAGGGAACAACAAAATGTCACCCTCCTCCCTAACCACCCCATCATTAGCCTCTTGCTACTGCTTTGGGGAAGGACGCGCCCACCAAGACAGCCTCAAACTAGTCCTGTCCTGTCCCCAGGGCCCCAATACTTGGCTACAAATGTATAATCACCGCTGTCTTCCCAAAGACCCAAACCTACAGCCCTCCCCCTTAGGATTCCCCAGACAGAATTCCACGCCCGAGAAGATTCCCTACAGTTTTCAAGACTTGTCAGGAATGGCGGGGGCGGGCGTCCTGGGAGGCCCGGGAAGTTTAGGAGAAATCTGAGTCCGCCCTCTACTAGTTGAACCTTCCCGGGGGCGTCTGGTTTTCCCACAAGTAGAGGCCAGGCCACCGGGGGCTCCTCTACTGGGGCGGGGCTGGGTGGGGCTCCCCCAGATCTAGCGCCCCGGACCGCTGGGCAGCAGCTGCTGGGGCGCCCACAGCCTTTCCCAGGCCGAGCGCAACCTCCTGGGCTACTGTGACCTGCGCTCAGGGCCCGCAGGGGCTGCGGGTCGAGCTTCCCAGGATTATGACCCCCAAATCCCAGCCTCTGGCAGGGCCTGCTGGCACAAACCGGCCCGGGCTGTCCGAGTTAAAAGGCGTTTCACTGAGCCCTCCCCACCTCCGCTGCCGTTGCCTCTGGGCTCTGGGCGAGATAGAACTCCGCGGTTCGGAGCCCAACTTGTCCCTCTGGCCGCAGCAGGGCTAGCGCAGTGGATCCGCTTTTGGAGCCACGCTGCCCCCTGCTGGACAGGCCTAGATGGGCGGTCCGAGACTCTGCTGCCCGGCCCACAACCTGGAGCGACTCTCCACCGCAGCTCCTTTCGGTCATTCCTACAGATCGAAATCTTTCTTGACTGGTCTCAGGACCCCTTGTGAAGGAGGGATAGGGCGCTGTCGGGTCTGGACCAGCAAGTAGGAGATCGGCTAGTCAGGCAAGATCCCAATCCCCCTTCCACCCCGTCCAGAAGGACTCGTCCCAGGAGAGAATGGAGCCCCGCTGCCAGAGAACTGTGACCTCGGCGTGCATAAGGGGGGTTAGTCAGCGGGTTTGGGTTTCCAGGGCTTGGGCCCAGCCAGCGAAGTCAGTGGTGTGGTCTGCTCTTGGCCATGGCTTGTGATAAGGCTGATGGCAGGAACTGCCTCGGTGCCTTTACTAATCCTTCGAGATTGGGGGAAAGTGGTTGTTGCAAGACGTCCAGAGTGCGTGGACACACACACACTCACAAAGCCGCTATGGAGAGCTTTGGATAAATCTGAGGACCTGCGAGAGCCCCCCCCCCCCCTTGCTCTTTCTGGCCTTCCATCTTTCCCAGGGATTGACTACCACTGCTGCCCACTCCCCCGCCCCCACATTCCTCCGCCTCCCATTCCTCCGGGGACACAGCGCCTCTGTGGTTAGCCCAGCCTTAAGGACATCGTCGTAAAGGCTGTGAAATGGAGTGGGGGGGAGGGCTCCTTCTGGCCCGCCCCACTTCTGGTACTGCATATCCTCACCCCTCCAACCCTAGTGCCTGCAAGGGGCTTTCAACATCAAGTCTGCATCCTTGGAAAAACGAACTCCCAGCTCAGAGTTTTCAGGGGACAGGAGGGAGTGGGGCCAGGTGCCACTCAGAGACCCCAGCCTATTTACAACGCCTCTCTTTTGGCTTGCTTTACCAACAATTGCTATCATGGTGGTGTTCCTAGAAGCCACCTCTCAGCGTGGCTCTCTGCGGTCCATATGCACGACAGTGATGGCATCGATCGTGCAGAAACAGTGACTGCAAGTGGAAGGGGCTGTGGGCCATCAGACCCCACACAGGCTACGATTACCGCCCCCCCCCCCACGTGGTTAGGCACTTTCCTCTTGAACCTACTACGGATCGCACGAAAAGGGCAATGAGACGATCAGAAATTTTGGGTAGGTTTTCTTGCCAGTCCATTCTGTAAGGGCTAATTCCCTCCCCACCTCCACCCTGCGCTACATCCCTAGAAAGTCCCATTCCACGGCCCCCTCCCCTGCCTCCGCTGTCTCCGGGTGGGTTTTCGGGAGCGAAGGAGGTCTGGACAGATGGAGTTCAGCTGGGGTCCTTCCCAAAGCTGCTAGGCCTGCAGTTCTTGTGCGAGGCTGAGGTTGGAGAAGCTACCGGCTGGACTTCCCTGCTGGGCGGGTAGAAGGCGCGGGAGATCCTGGGTGCAGCCTGGAGCTTTCCTGGGGCTCGCTCTGGGAAAAGCTTAGGAGCGACCTGGGGAAAGAGCGGCCCGCAGGGGCTTCGCCCGGGTTGGAAGAAGTTCAGGTTTCACGTTCTCCTTCTGGAATGGAGCTATGGGCACGAAGGGATGTTCCCCTGCGAACCACTGTCCTGCGGGACTCGGGGCTCCCACAGGACCCTGGGGAGGAGGGAGAAACGCTGTGAGACAGTCTAGGGCTTCTTGACGACACCTCAGCTCCGAGGACGTGGAACCTGTGAGAGTACAACCTCTCCTCTCCCCGCGGCTGACTCTTGCGGTCCCTGGAGTTGGCTGAAAGGCGTCCCATCCCACCTCCCAGAGATCCAAGGCCCTGTGACGTCGGGGCATCCTTCCGCCGACACAGTCACGTTGCACAAACATCTGGAAAACGAGTCAGAGGTCTGCGATGCATCTTATTGACGTAGTTCTATGACGTCACAGACGGGCCCCCATCTGGAGAGGGGACACCAGGGCTCCCACATTTCCCGCCTCCCCTTCCCCGCGAGAACCCTGCACGTAGAGGAGCCAAGACTGTGTCCTAACCCCACCGAGAGGACCCGCAGACCCCACGCGTTGGCAGCAGCCCTGAGTGAGAGAAGGTGCGTGGCAGCGTCGCCCTCCGGACGCCGGTGGCTTAGAAGGACCTCCCTAAGTGCAGGCAGGCTTTCAGCGCACCAGCTGCCGCTCGGTGCAGAGGACTCTCCCAGCCCACCTGGCCCCGCCCCGCCCCCGGCCTCCCCGCCCACTGCGCACGCTCCAGGCGCAGGCGCAGTAGGCACGCGCCGCTGCGAGGGGTGAGGAGCGGGCGCGGAAGAAAGTTGCTTCCCGAGGCGGTCAGGAAAATCGCTGGGGGCTGATGCGTTCCGCTTTCGGGGACCTCAGACTCGCGGTGACACTGGCCCGGCGGTTGCATCCAGCCTTCGGCGTGTTTGAGCGCTAGAGATGCTGACGAGGAAGAGGCCAGCCCCGGGTTGAGGGGGGCTGGACAGCCTCTGGCGTCTCAAATCCCGCGCGGCCGGCGTCCGACCGTGGCCCCTGGGGTTCGAACCCGAAGGAACGCGGTGCGGGGGCCCCTGCCTTAGATGAGCAAGCCCAGTGCGGCCCCAGCCTTGGGGGGGCAGTGTCTCTGAGGCAGAGGTCTGCGCCCCCGGTCGGGCGGAGCTCTTAGAGACCCAGACCGGGTCACCTACGCCTCCTGTTCCGCCTGGTTTTCTGGGCCGCGGATAGAGCCAAACTTGTTGGACGCAGTTTGCATTAAGTTTCCGATGAAGAGTTCACTACGGACAAGAGATGTTAGGTAGGGTCAAACCTCCTGTCAGCGGCAGAGGAAGAAGTAGAAGCCGCGTTTCCTGCGAGGCCAAGGGCCAGAAGACCCAGTTTTAGCTTTTCCTGCCACCTAACAAGCTGTGGGCAAGTCCCTGCACTTCTGTGAGCCTCAGTTTTCCTTCCGTAATGGCGCTAGTGCTCTTCTTCCCACCTATCTCATTAGTTGCTGTGGGGGTCAAATGCATACATATTTTCTCAGTCATATTCAGTACTTGAACCAAAAAACTGGGCCCTAATGTGTTACAGAACAACTTTGGCATTTATGAAGTGTCATGTAAAAGTATTACTAGAAATGTTTGCTCAGCATCTCTAGGTTGCCTGCCTCCCAGGCTGCCTTATTTAGGAGACTCTTCCCCTCATCTTCACTTTACCTAACTCAGAGATCTTGAAATGGGAATGAAGAGGATATCACCTGGACTGGTGGTCTCCTTGAAACCTCCAGGAAAACTTGAAAGAAACCCTTTTTTAATCTCCATTTGGACCAATGGATTAATCCGTTCACAGATTGTTATGTTTGGGTAAGAGAGGAAGTCAGATGACTAAATGTAAGTGCCCTGCTCACCACTCCTTTGTGGCATATGTTTAGGGAGAAAGAAAAAATCCAACCTGATGCAGGTGTGGGGCAGGGGCAGGGCCTATGTATGGGGCAACTAGCCCTGCATAGGTAGTAGGGGGCTTTCACTCTGCAAACACCAGCCTGCCTTTGTGAAAGACCCCCACTATAATGTCCTTTGGGCTGTGCTTTGCCTTTTGCTAGGAACTCCTAGCCTAAAGAGA